TTTTCACTTTTTCCACATACTTTTGATAGTTCTGAATAGCCCGTCGCTTAAATTGTCGGAATCAACGTTCACCCGGCCAAAAAATTCGATTTTGGCGAAAATCCACTTGCCCCGGAAAACCCGAAAATCTGACCCTTTGGCTGGGGCCAAAAAAAACGGTTTCTCAGTTTTCACTTTTTCCACATACTTTTGACAGTTCTGACTAGCCCGGCGCTTAAATAGTTGGAATCAACGTTCACCCGGCTAAAAAATTCGATTTTGGCGAAAATCCACTTGCCCTGGAAAACTCGAAAATCTGACCCTTCGGCTGGGGCCAAAAAAAACAGTTTCTCAGTTTTCACTTTTTCCACATACTTTTGACAGTTCTGACTAGCCCGGCGCTTAAATAGTTGGAATCAACGTTCACCCGGCTAAAAAATTCGATTTTGGCGAAAATCCACTTGCCCCGGAAAACCCGAAAATCTGACCCTTCGGCTGGGGCAAAAAAAAACGGTTTCTCAGTTTTCACTTTTTCCGTATACTTTTGACAGTTCTGACTAGCCCGGCGCTTAAATAGTTGGAATCAACGTTCACCCGGCTAAAAAATTCGATTTTGGCGAAAAATCCAAGATCTGACACTTTGACCCTTGTGACCCTTGGACCGACTTTCCCCCCGGAAAAATCCAAGATCCGACACTTTGGCCTCCGGTGAAAAATTTTTTTTTTCATTTTTCACTTTTTCCACATACTTTTGATAGTTCTGAATAGCCCGTCGCTTAAATAGTAGGAATCAACGTTCATCCGGCCAAAAAATTCGATTTTGGCGAAAATCCACTTGCCCCGGAAAACCCGAAAATCTGACCCTTTGGCTGGGGCAAAAAAAAACGGTTTCTCAGTTTTCACTTTTTCCATATACTTTTGACAGTTCTGAATATCCCGTCGCTTAAATAGTAGGAATCAACGTTCACCCGGCTAAAAAATTCGATTTTGGCGAAAATCCACTTGCCCCGGGAAACCCGAAAATCTGACCATTCGACTGGGGCAAAAAAAAACGGTTTCTCAGTTTTCACTTTTTCCACATACTTTTGATAGTTCTGAATAGCCCGTCGATCAAATAGTAGGAATCAACGTTCACCCGGCTAAAAAATTCGATTTTGGCGAAAATCCACTTGCCCCGGGAAACCCGAAAATCTGACCATTCGACTGGGGCAAAAAAAAACGGTTTCTCAGTTTTCACTTTTTCCACATACTTTTGATAGTTCTGAATAGCCCGTCGATCAAATAGTAGGAATCAACGTTCACCCGGCTAAAAAATTCGATTTTGGCGAAAAATCCAAGATCTGACACTTTGACCCTTGTGACCCTTGTGACCCTTGGACCAACTTTCCCCCCGGAAAAATCCAAGAACCGACACTTTGGCCTCCGGAGAAAAAATTTTTTTTCTCATTTTTCACTTTTTCCACATACTTTTGATAGTTCTGAATAGCCCGTCGCTTAAATAGTTGGAATCAACGTTCACCCGGCTAAAAAATTCGATTTTGGCGAAAATTCACTTGCCCCGGAAAACCCGAAAATCTGACCCTTTGGCTGGGGCCAAAAAAAACGGTTTCTCAGTTTTCACTTTTTCCACATACTTTTGACAGTTCTGACTAGCCCGGCGCTTAAATAGTTGGAATCAACGTTCACCCGGCTAAAAAATTCGATTTTGGCGAAAATCCACTTGCCCCGGAAAACCCGAAAATCTGACCCTTTGGCTGGGGCCAAAAAAAACGGTTTCTCAGTTTTCACTTTTTCCACATACTTTTGACAGTTCTGACTAGCCCGGCGCTTAAATAGTTGAAATCAACGTTCACCCGGCTAACAAATTCGATTTTGGCGAAAGTCGACTTTCCCTCTGGAAAAACAGACAATTTGACTCTTTGGCTCGGGGTGAAAAAAAATATTTTATTTCGTCTTTTGTCGCGCCTTCATTGGCATCAGAATTGTTAGAAAATACAGAATCAACTTTCACTTGGCGAAAAAATTCAATTTTGGCGAAAATCGACTTTCACCCTTGATCCACGTGAAAATGAAAAAAATTTTTTCCCCTTTTCTGTCACCTCCGAGGGTTTCATTGGCATCAGGGGGTCAATAAATACAGCATCAACGTTCAATATTTTTTTTATTTAAACACCGCCTGCAAACGGGGAGATGAGGGTGGCTAAAATATTTTCTGCAACCCTGTCTCCTCGTTGGCTACAAATTTCAACCCTCCGTATACATGCCTTCCCCTTCACCCGCTCGTAAAATCACGCGTTCTCGGTAGCATCGAGGAGGACTTCTCAGGACCGAAAAGAACTGAGGATTCGAAAGGTCTCTGGACAAGTACGTCGCAGATGTGATTAGGACTTACCAGGTCCATCTAGGTCTGGAGAGATCTTTAAAGACCTGTGTACGTCCAATCAGAACCAAATCCTCGACTCGGGTAGAATATTTGATGGAGTGGAAGAGATTTAGACGTACGAAGAAATCGTATAGAAATTTTCTATACGAATTGCGTATGGAAATTCTGTAGGATTTCTGTATATGATATTCGGATATTTCTATACGAATTATTTCTTTACATAAATTTTTACCTAAATTTTTGTTTTCATACGAAAGATGTCTAAACGCTCCAGAGAAAAACGCAGAGAAATTTCGCAACTCCGTACGAAATGTTTCTGTACATGTGGCAGTGGGTCGTATAGGATCAAACCTATAGAAATCGTATAGAAATAATTTGTATAAAAAATATCCTTATAGAAATATCCGACTATCATGTACGAAAATACTATAGAAATTCAATGCGCAATCCGCATAGACAATTTTTATACAATTTTTTTATATGTGCACTTGAGGGAAATTAACCAACTTGATAGAAGAAAATTTAATATCTTTCACAAAAGTTAAATTTTTGTCGTGATCATCAGAAATATCCCTAGAAGAATTCGAACTGTTGGCAGGAAAATATATAATCTATTGTACGACAATCATTTGATGTAAGAGAGCTCCATAGGTTTATACCATAGAAAGAATACATTGACGAGGAACGAATATTTTTTTCCGAAAAAAAAATGGCCCCTCGAAATTATTTAGTTCTGCCAATAACACAGTTATCGGCAAGAAAATTGTAGTTTCAATTGTATAACAAAGTCTTTATTTATACATTTGGTGGAACCTACTTTTAATTCTGGTGATTTTATTTCTCTCTGATGCGGGTGAAATGAATTTTGCACTCGAGATTTTCATCCTATTGCAGAACGATAAGTTTACAAACTTCATGAGCCCCAGGAATTTAATTTGCAAGTGCTAATTAGCAAAACTTTATGGCGTGCTCATGACATTCCCGGTCTGAGAGCTTCTGCTGGTCGACATAACACCCTTTCAAAATATTTCAAAACCCCAGGATGTTGGAGTCTTAGCTAATGGCCAGCTCCACTCAACCACTTTCACTCGCGGCGATATTAATGAGGAAATATTTGTATTCACATGGGGCATAAGTGTCTCGGGTCGGAGGTATGAAATACCTTTCGTTATATCTCCAAATGTGAGGGCTGCATGGATAACGGTGCATTCTCATGTATCAGAAATTCCATTAAAAACGAAAATGAAGAATGTAAATTCGAAATTTTTCTTCATCCACTCCCTCTGGGGCATCTCAACCGCAAGAGGATTGCTCCACTGTTAGAAAATTACTCTTCAAATTTCAAGTCAAGAAGCTTGAAATTTTTAACAACGACAATGTAACATGAAATTTCTGTATATTTCTTCATTGACGAATCAGTTAATTTTGTGAATATTCAAGTAATTCTCGAGTTCTAGATCCATACGGCACCTTGAAAATTTGGTAAATTTAGGCAACAACTTTTCAGAATTCTCAATTTATTGAAAATTGAATTATATGTGATGTTTGATTTTTACGATGCGTTTGGAAATTCAAGCTTTCTTTGGAAAATCAATGATTATTTAACATAAAAAATCCAATTTTCTTGAATTTTCAAGACGAATGAGAAATTTAGTGAACACTTTCATTTGAAATTGAATTCAACCTCACAACATCGAAAATTCAGATGACGGTGTGACTGAAATTTAAAGAAATTTTTAACAGTGTGACTGACTCGAGTGTCACATCATATGGGTTAAATTTATTCGCGTAATTCCATTGACTTCTACTGACTTCACTGATTTCAAATAATTTTATCGTGATTTCCAGAGGGATTTTAACGGGTGATTTTCCCTGTCGACTGGTTTTCACCCGTCGACAGGGATATATCGCGTAGTTTTATGTGGAATTCCAGTACAGCACGGCTTGTCCTCTTGAATTTTCGGTTGGCGATTACTTCATTCT